GAGTTTAACTTGAACAAGCTGTGTTTTTGTCTGTAATAGAAAGAGAAAATGAAACACTAATAACTAAGCTTTTAACAAGAAACAAAACAAATTTTTGGTTTTCCAATTACCATTTCTTTGGTAGATATCCTTAAAATATTGCGCAAAATATGATGTTGCATTTCACTGTCGTGAACTCTAATAGAACCACCACCCAATTCAACTCCATTTAATACCAAGTCATAATGCTGGGCTAAAAAGAAACGACTAAACAATGCTTTAATTTAAACGTAGAGCCGATTAAAATAAATTACTTAACAGCACCTTTTATATTCGATATTTGTTCTTTATCATACAGCAAACTTTCATGAGACGTCACTGGCGCTGTAAAAGGGTGATGAGCACTTTCATACCTTTTCTCCTCATCATTATAAAGAAAAAGAGGAAACTCTGTAATCCAAACAAAATCAAATCTTTCAATAGATCTTAAAGTACTAGCTTCAGCAACCAAACGAATCAGTTGACCAAGTGTCCATTGAACTCCATCGTGATTACCCCAACTTAAAAAGTAAAAGAATATATTTTTAAATTAAAAAATAATTCAATACTATAAAAACTAATAAAACTAAAACCTATATCTTAGAGAAATGAGAGATGCACAGGTTAACAAGGAACTAGACAATGCTTACGCAACTACGATGGCGTCATTTTCATCAATTCCTATCTTCTCCAAAAATTGTTGCAATTGTGATTCTGAAGACCATTTTCCAACATCATTCAGCAACATTACAGTAAACCGCTGCAATCAAGAAACACTACTTTAAAAAAACAGTTACAGGAACTAATGAGATTCAGAGGACTTTAAGTTGCAAAAGGTATATAGAACTATTAGCTCACTTGCGCTAAACGATTCATTTCAATTAATCGCTTCCATTCGTCCTTATTCTTACGAGTAATAAATTTCCTACAGGCTTTTGCAACAAAACATCTTGCTGTATCTCCATATGAAAGCTTCATAAAAGGCAGCTTAGAAGGAAAATCAATTATTTTCCAAGAAATTCGCAAGTCTGGTTTATCAACCCCATACTGATCGTAGGCTTCTGCGTATGTAATCCGTTTGAACGGAGCAGTAGGGCGATAACTGACCTAGTAAAAGTGCTAAAACAGTATCAAATTCAGCAAAAAAAGAACAAATGCTCACAGAAGTACTCATGATTTGAAGAATGAAGTTGAAAGTTGATTTTGAGCTTTACAACCACATCAAATATATAAAAAAAAGTTTTGGAGGAAGAGAGGAAAAAAAGGCTATATAAAAGAAGAAACCTCAGAGTGAAAATATTTAAAGAAAGGAGAAGAGCTTTGACTATTTCAAAAACAAACCAATTCTTTGTCTAATACATACAAAATGTCTTGCTAAAATGTATAAGCAAAAATGAATTCCCCAAAAGTGCTTATTAAGCAGGATGATTATTGGTTAGTTGTTACTATCACTTAATTTCGTACCAAACTATGCAAATTTTAAGACCATTTCTCTGCATTTTTTTGAAATTCAATGAGGATGGCGAAATTGAATATATGTCCTGAAAAATCTAGAAATCTGACTTCAGGAGATTTAACCCTGCTAGACTTTCACCTTTATAACGATGCAAATATTATAGCTGTATTTAGCGTTATCAAAATTAGGAGCATGAATTATACTCGTCCTCAACAGCTAATTTTAAATCATATCAGGTGCTGAAAACAAAAAAAGATGAAGAAATAATTTAAAAAGCAAGTGGTTTTGAGAAAAACAGTTTTTTCTAAAAATATCTAAAACTGAAAAATTATTTGGCTTAGACATTTTTGAATTAATAAAAAAAGCCAATTCATTTTATTTTACTGTTCAGTACAATTCAACTAGATCTCCAAATCCTTTTTCAAAAGATTTAATATGACAAATGAGGTAAAAAGAACAGCTAGTTATACAAATAAGCAATCAAAATACTTTGTTGAATTCCGTCTCACAGTCACAACAGAAATGGTGCGAAATGCGACCACAAAGTTTAAGGTTAGAAAACTAACAAGACTCTCTGGCCAAGACTGAAGGATAATATTTTCAACGAGGTCCATGACATATTCCTGACTGGTGAACGAAAGTTCAATGTCAACTTGAGTAAATTCAAGCTGCCTGTCCTGTTTCGAAGTTTCATTTCTGTAACACCGAGCGATCTGAAACCAGAAACGCTTCTTAAAAATGCTATTATATCGTTTATCCTCTAGTTAGAACACTTCTTGCGATTTCAGTCAACCTGGTAATAACGGTCTAATCCAGCACACATCAGCAACTGTTTGAACTGTTGCGGGCTTTGAGGCAATGTATAAAAAAGACCATTGTTAGGCTTGGGTGCTGGAACAATGAACTCGCTGGCACCACCAGGAGTAGCGCGAAAAAGCGTTGGTGTTTCAACCTGTAAAAAAAGCAAAACCAGCTTAGAACCATAAAATAATGTACTTTAAATCAGCGATACAGGTACAAAATTTTGTAGATCAACAAAGAAAATTTGAAATTAAATACTTGCTTCAACAAATCCAGCAATCCCGGTTAAAAAATTTCGCATCGCCTGAACTACTGATGATCTTAATCTATAATCAACTAAATTAACAAATTTTTTATTCCTTAAAAAACGAAAGGAAAAAGATCAACAGTTTTTAAAAGATACTAAGAAAAGTAGAAGATTAAAATACTGCATTTTATTGCAAAACCAGAGAAAAGTTTCACGACAATTGAATGTCAAGTATAAACTACCTGAGTATTCGCTGCATGGTCGGGTCTCGAAGTTGCAGATAGCGGTATTTCATCCCGACTTCGTAGCCCGGAGAAGATTTATACGAAAAAGGCAGTGAATCACATGCTCTATTCAGAACTGTTAACTTATTGACGACTACCGAAAATGAGATATTCAAATGATACAAATTTATTTGATTACCTTCATATTTTCCAGGCAATTTGAATGTTCAAGAACTTCAAAGACAGGAGAAAGTGATGAAAACTGAAAGTCAAAATTTCCTGTCACAGAAACTTTTTTGAAAAGAAATGGAGATGACGAAGAATCTTTATAGTCTTCTTAAACCATAATAAAGTCAACTTTGAACAAATTTAATTAAAGCATTACCTCAACAGCTCCCGTTGGCATTTGAGGATTGCTGTTCTCGCCCCTACTTTCAACGGTACCTTCCACTGCTAAAACACTCTCGTAACTGGTACCTGCAGCTAACTCCTGTAAATCTTTTCGTGTATCTGGTATTCGAGCTTGGACTAGTCCATATGCGTCTCGCAAAATAAGAAATCGATCTAATCTTCTATAAGCCAACCAACCACAAAGCTTGGCCTTTTCGCCTAAAAAAGCATAATTCCACCAGATATAGACTATCAGAACGTAAAATACTACTAATTTCAGGTCTCAAGGTTTTTTCTGTACTAATTCGAACCAGCTTTTCATTTCACCTTGACTTCACAGATAGAGCATTTCTCATATTTTTTACTTTCTTTAACCAACTAATAATTTTTTGCCCAAGTTATAATTACAAGAACAAGTCTTTACTACTCAACATTTACCGATATGGTGAGATCGCAATTCTCCACAAGTGTGACTTCGGACAGTATAAGTGTTGAATGAAACTTCTGATGACATGTACCGCAAGTGACTCAACTTTGAAACCAAATGCTTCCATGATTTCATCGCAAATCAACTAAAAATTGGTAAATCGTATGTTTGAACATAAATACAAAACAAAATCGATCTTTCATAAAAACAATCATAAATTTAAGCAATGCTATGTAACATTATGTCTGTGACAGGCCTTTCAAACCTTTCAAGCGACTCCAGAACAAGTCCACCAACTTGACAGCTGAGTTGCCTCCCACTAGCATAGTCAAGTTCAAGATCCCCTTAAGGAGTAAGAGTCGAGCACTGATTTAATAGCGCTAACTGCTGTACAATAGCAGCTGGAGAACGCTTGAAAGTTATTTCGCAGTGTCTATTTCAAGTAAACCATGACACTTCATTCGTTTTTAACGCCACAAAAAGTCCGTCAACGACCGCCACTCTCCAAGGCAGCTCTAAAGCCAACCCCAATGTCTTCCAATGCATATCCCAGTAAACTAGCTAAACTAGGGACATAACTGCTACCACTACTTTGCAACGCTCGCCTCAAACTGTAACTAAGCACAGTAACTTAAAACTTTGGTTCAAGAAACTCGTTTTGCTCCTCTGAAGAAAATTCAAAATCTCGGCCTCTCCTTTCTATCAATTTTAAGTATTATTTAAAATAACTTTCGAGTGTGCAGCAACATATCCAAATGACGGCTCTGGCTCATATTTTGTGCTTAGACAATTCAAAAACCAATACCTGTGGAAGCAACACTTGTTAGATCCAAGCACAAAACGATTTTTCAAACCTCAGTTACTTAAAAATATTGTCGGATGTGTAAAGTTAAAACATGTTGACGTTTGTGTCGCTAAGTTAAATTCTAAAAGTTTATCACAGACAAATTAAGCTTTAAAGTAAAAAGAAGATATAATAAAAACACAAAAAATAAAATAATAAAAACTCTCCCTAAGTAATACCCTCAAGAAAGATATTTAGCATCATAACTATAAGACAAATTAATAAAACAAAATCAACAAAAGTTTTATAGAACAGCTCTGTAGGAACACTCAAAACTAGGTTTTGAATGAATCCCAAAATGATCCCGCCTAAAATTCAGAGCAGAAACTCGCAAAATATAGAACACAAATTAACAAACCTAAAGTAATTACAACAACCTACAAAAATGTAACAACAAAAATTGAAAAAACAAATAGATTATACCAACAAAAAACGAGATGGCAAATAAAGAACTTTTAGCCCTGAAGATTTTACGAGCAGACCGTTCATAGTCCAATTGGGAGACTTAAATTTGAGGGCAAAATTTGCCCAACACCAGTAAAATATAAAAGGAAAGGCTGCGGTGAGTCTAGCAAACTATCGTAACCCCTTTCAGAAAGCACGCGATAACGAAATTTATTCAAAGATATCTTATCAATGACGTCCTCAACGTCCCCAACTTCAACGCCAGATACATCTGTAAAAACTTTGAAAATAAGAAAATCCATATAAAAATGAACTTATAGTTTCCTTACTATTACTTTCTATTACTTAAACCAAAAAACTTCTTATCCAGTTTCAATTAAGTCATAGAAACAAATAATTTCCTTCAAATTAATTAAATATACATATTTTAAGCTCTAACCAAACCCATAAAGTTTTACGACCATTAAAAATCCCTGAGAATATTGTGACTAAGATTGTGTAACCAATAAGGAACCAGTTGTTCTTTCAAAAATCGTTTTAAATTTCACTAAAACCGATCACTGACGTATTTTAAAAGAGATAAATTTACCGTCAAAATCTAACAAAGCAAATAAGCGATACCAAAATGACACTCACCAGGCGCCTTTGAGATATAATAATCTCCATCCGGCACTTTTTTCTTAATGATACAAACAGGACCCTGTATATAACTAACTGCCATCTGCGGATAAATGTAGTTACGATACAACAATCCAAGCATTTTTCGGAATAAATCATACTTTCCAGGGTACTCTAACAAGTAACAGCATTTCTGTAAACAACAAAAAATGCAAAAACACAAAAATTGTATTGATTGAAATCTTAAGCAACCTGCTTACATAACAGAGAGCAACTGGAACAGGTAAGTCAAATGATGTAATCATTTTCCGCTTTTTAATACTCCGTTTCAGTTTATCGAGAAGCAGTGAAGCATCAACCAAACGATGGTAACTTTTAATAAACTTTTTAGATGCCGATGAGTGACTGCGACCTGTTGAGCTGCCCTTAATTAAAGTAACAATTGATTTTGCTAAAAGATCACAGTGAAATATGCTAGAATTAGCTTAGTAAATTAGTATAAACCAAGTCATACCAGTGAACTGCACAAAATTTTTAAAACCAAGTACCTTCAATTTTGAAGTTTTGGCCTCCTTACGTTTGCTTAAAACTTCAGCAGACCTTTCCTACAACGAACTCAGGATTACATATATACCAATTTCTACAGCCAGTTCAATATCACTACACTTCATATCATCAATTTTGCAGATAAACTTAACACGACCATTCAACTAAAAATTGATTTTGATCCAAAAAACTTTTACCTATCTTTTTTACAACTGGAACGTTGTTTTAATACCAATAATTCCCAACCAAATTCTCTAACAAACTTAACTTAAAAAAATTATTCCTTTCTCGAAAATAAAGTTAAAAATATATAATTTTTCACTTTCTGACGTGTTGCTGAGCTGAAATAGTATATATCATAACAAGTTTAAAAAAACAAACCTCATCCACTGATTTTTTATCTTTTGGTAGTGACAGATTACTGGCGTCAACCGCATTGTTATCCATTATCTGAAACTGACAGTTACACTGAGAGACTGAAAGAAAAAACCTGATAACTAAGCACGGGATGACTTTTAAGACAAACTTTTCCAGTCGCAGACTTATGCTCTTGTAATGTTGTCCCATTCACTATCTGATTTTCAGGTTCGGGGCTATGTCCTGTTAAATTACTCTGTTTGTCAACCTCTTCCAAATCCTGCAGAACGAGAAATAACTTTATATTCAAGTAACTTATAAGCAAGCCAAAAAAAGTAAAAAAATAAATTTTTAGAAAATTGTTCGAATAATGGGGAGCACTTGATGAACTTATTTTTGAAATATTTAACATAGTTGCCTGGCTAGTCTCAGGAGATGATGAACTATCTAATGAATTATGTGGCAATTCAATAAGATCGAGGAGATTAATCTCATTTTCAAAATTCTTGAGCAGCCTTAAGTCATTATTTCTCTTGGTACCACAGCAATAAAGAGCAGCAGGATCCAACGGATGAGCCTCGGTGTTGAAGACGTAACCACCAGCTAAGCAAAAAAAGGTATATTTTTGAGCAAGAAAGTAAAAGAAAATATCACATATGCACACATTCCTGTGTTTTTTCTTTCCTCTGGTATATGACAACAAACTGGTGAAAGTAACTGAAACGATAAACCACAGCTTTGGTGCTACTAATTCTAATCAGAAGAATGAGACATATTCGAGAAATCTATGAGCTACTTGCCGTCCAGAAAAACTCGTGCTTTTAATTACAACCCCCCAATAATTACAGTAAGTTAGCAATCAAGAACTTTTTTCAAAACAGTTCTGAACGTCAGACCCCTTTCAGAACTCCCAGTTTGTTGGAGCAACATTAAATTGTAAACGAAAAAAAGTCAAGGATTCTAAAAAAAAGGCAAATGCTGGCTCAACGCGTTGTTTAAAAATTTACCTCTCACCATCTTAGATATATATCACGACCTAATTAAAGCCGAAGAGACAGCACTCACAAACGGGACTTTGATTAGTAAACCTACGCTTTCCACAACCGTAACCAATTTTTAACGAGAAAAACGCCTGCGTTAAGCTAATGAATGACTAACAAGTCTACATCCAAAACAAAGTCGTGTAGAATGATGCTGCGGCATAGCAGCGATTCAGGAATAACAGTCAATAAATATAGGAATTCCTACTACCAGTCAGTGGACTTAAGTTAAGGTAATACAATAAAAGAAATTGCTAATCGGCAGTAAAACTTGGCAGATGAATATTGAAATGCGCATAGAGGCACTGACTATAACTTACTGGAGCATATCAAGGATCTTAAAAGCTACGGGTGCAGAATGGAACCTTGACTACGTACCAACAGCAAAGAAAAGCGTCTATAAAGTAAGTGATAAAAACATAGAACAAAAATGTAAATTTAAAAGAAACAATTCCTACCTATCTTAAAACTCCTTACCAAAACAAAACTAAGAGAACATTGTTTCAAATTTGAAACCTGCGCTAAATTTTGAAGTTAAGAATCTGTAAAAACTTCAGTACCTCGCTGCTAACTTTCCAAGGCTTCTTTCACTCCCAAAAAGACAAAAAATAAATAAAATTTTAGAAATAACAGAAAGACAATAAAAACGAAGTTCAAACAAATTCACTGAAAGAACAACTATTCTCAAAACTAAGAAGTTTGAACGCTTCGAAGAAAAAGAAGCGGAAGGAGGGATGTTTGCCGGCCGTAACACTAGCTTATGGCAAACATTTCAAAATTTAAAAACTGTTTAATCCTTGACAGGAGCAAAATCTTGGACTTATTGTTCAGTAAACCGTCATGCAAATGTTTAAATTGTTCCTCTAATCTACTGATAAAAAGTTACGCATTCACCATCCAAAATACAAGGTCCATTAGGTGTTTCCACTCTTCGTGAGCGTGTGCCGTCATTGTTTATGAAATTATCCTCATCGAAAATAAGGTATAGATACTTCGTTGTTTCAGAAAGAAAGAACGATTCCATCCTAAACTTTTATTTCCATTGTACAAAAGAAAGTCTCAAAACCTAAATTAAAATACCTGTCTTCCTTCGTATGATCATCAACATTTTCTATCGTAGCAAATCCACAGGAAGTACGACAACTAAAGTCGATTGCCTTAAAAATTGACGTTTAAAAGAACGCAATAAGCGGGCTTAGCCAATTAAGATAGATCTGCAGAATTATTGTAAAAATTAAACCGACATTCAAAAGATTTTGAAAAACTCAGCAATGCCTTTTTTACCTCGGTGATATCTGCAGCAAGCTGAAGTAACCAAGGATCTTTAGTTGCTCTGTAAACATAATAGACACTTTCAATGAATTCCGGTCTCAAAGGATATCCTGATCGTTTTTTCACCTTAAAGTTCTTGTTTTCAGGCAACCTTTGAAATGTGACTAAATTATTTACAAAGATGCCAGTGAAATCCGTTATTTCTCACGATTAGATTGAGAAAAAATAATTAAAAAAGCACCTTTACAAGATAACAAAAAAAGAAATACAGAACCAACAAAATATAACAAGTCAAGATAAACTCAAAGTAAAATGCGCTTCACAGATTAAAGCATAATTACCCAATTATATATGAAAAAATGGTCAACAATTAGGTTTTCAAAATAACTATTAGGCTTGCAGCCAAATTTTCGCTACGCAAAAAGCTACAAAAGTAGAAATAAGTAAATTTTCTTGAACGCACTGCTTCCTGATTCGGGAGATTATAGAATTCTGGAGGAAGCCCATACTGCCTAATGACATGACTATATTGCATCAAAATCCTCTGTGCATCTGCTACCTTCCCAGTCAATGCCTAAAAGAAAAAAGGACTTGCAGATAAATGGTACACAAGCTTTTGTAACCTCACAAATGCTTTATCTTAACTTACCAAAACACCAGGCCAGAAAGCTTCCAATGACTGGAAAATGGGTAATGAGACTTGACCCTTTGTCATAGATACCCAAACAAACCAATCTTCTTTTCGAACATATCTGTTCACTGACTTCATATATTCTAAAAAACACCTATTAAGTATTTAAATCTTGAACGCATCCGCCTAACCAAACTTAGCAAACGCCAAGTGGGATGCAGAACTGAATCAAAAAACTTTATGTTTGTAATTCGCTCGTATTTTTTCAGACAATAGGACTTACTACTATATTTAACAGCATGGCTTACAAACTCCTACAAACTACGACCGATGTTTTTAAGGATATTTGGAAAGCAAGGTTCACGAGTCTGCACGAGAATGTTACCTTGTAAAGTATGCAGAAAATGGGCAGCTGAACAGAAGAAAGCGAAACAAATATTCCACTAAAATGGTCTTCCTTCATCCAAAGAAGTTTCAAACAGTTACTGTATAAGGTTTTTTGCACGAAATATTCTGTTTCTGTAGCTCCATAAAACCCAACATACTACAGCTGCTAATACCAGCCCTCACTTAGAATCAGACAACGCTGTGGACTAGATAGTCAGTGATTATTAAAAGTTGTTGAATTAAAAACTAACAATTTTTGGTGACAATTTTGAAGCTGTTGTTTTCCTTGAGATTAAACAAGAAAATGAAATACCATGACTGGCACATGGCTTCACTTAAGTAAAAAGCAATGAAAAACTGAGTGAATGCTCCTAAAGCAGAGTAGATATGAGCTTTTCTAAAGCAAAGAATTAAAAAGATAAAGAACTACGAGGCACGAGACATTGCAATTATGAATTACTAAAGAAAACACATTTTTAACAGGCTACTGTTCCAAATTCGTGAATTTTATAATTACCTTCTCATTTCTACAAAGAATGACACAGAATTTAACGCAAGAGAAAGGGATGGTTTAATGCTAATGCAAAACATCAATGAGAAGACTCGCCTTGCACTAGTACGAAAATAACAACTTTTCTAGGACCAACTTACTAGAAATTACCAAAATGAATTTTTCTCAGGAAGTTTGAGCAGCCCATCAGGGACAACATTCATAAGGAATATGACATACAAGCCTCTTCAAACCCCTAAAGCTCCTTCCCCTCAGAAGCATCTAAAAAATTGATCAGTCTCCTAATGTAAAAGAAAGATTGTAGTATCACCAAAAACTAATACGAAAAACAAATAGTTTACAAAATATACTTATTACAAAACATTTGCACTTCATCCCCCTCCAACTAGAAAAACGATACGAGAAAATTATATCAACGCAAGATCTTCAGTGACACTTTTTAAGCATATTATCTACAGACTTCTTAACTTTACTGTCGAAATTGCCATTAAACCAAGAGGTACTGAGCACTAAGTCGTTAAAACATTAGGCAATTTGTGGTGTTGTAGTAAGAATTTCACTCAAAAATTTTGATTCGGCAGATATCAGAAGAACGTGACAAATAAATTGCAATCCTTGTCCAGTTCTGATAATCTGCTAAAAACTCTCAATACACTCCTCTACCTTTGATTTTCCAACCAGTCCCTCAAGGAGTTCCGCAAAAAAGTGAAGTGACCATCAGTTTTATCAGCCTTTCACCACTTACCGAAGACAAATGAGCAGCGGAATCGCATATGCAAGTTTCCTAGATTCCATACAATTTAATTCTTCTTTAAAACGAGACCGCTTTGTAAACTTCTGTTAAATAACATAAAACAGAGATTCTGAAACTGTCCAATCTTCCTCTAAAGCCCAACAAAACTCTTAAATGCTAAATCATTGGCTCTAACAAACTCTTTGAAACTACATATATTACTAAAAAATATACCATTGAACTGTCTCATAAGCTTCGGTCGCTGGAATAACAAAGCCCCTTTAGCAAGGTACTCGAAATAAGAATCAATTCCAGCACCAATGCCAGCGTCAGTAGCCGTCCACTCACCTGAAGTACAGAATTATCTAGCAACCAACAAAAAACTTCTATTAGAGGTAAAAATTTTACCGCTCTGAACATTTATATGATTTCCCACAAGTCCAAGCGAACTGCGAGACTCCCACAAAGCGTCCAACGCCTTTTGTGCGACTCTTTCGTAGTGAGGATTGCCGAAAAAAATAAATAATGAAGAGACGAGCAGAAAAAAATACAAAAAAAATAATTTCGGTTACCAGTAAGCTTTGACAAAGCTCCAAGTTCTAAAATCATTGTTCCCACTCCTGCAGTACACGTAATTGGGGTCTCGTATTTATGCACTCCGTATCTGAAAAGATTAAATTACGCACTGAGACAAACGACAAGCAAAACTTTCCTTCACTTGTTTGGCAGTTTAATTGACGTTTTTAATAAAGTAGTTGCAAAACAAGACTAACTTAAGGTTAACAGTTCCATAAGGCATTCCAGTATCAGTATTAAATGCTGGCAGAAGTTTTTGTGCAAAACGTTCAGCTAGACGAAGCAGTGGCCCAGAACACGGCCATCCCGGTTCCTGTGGAATTCCTAGTGAAAGAAAAGTAAATTAAGGTTCCGGTTGTTCCTTGGCGTTTTCCTTTGCGTTATACTGGAAGATTGGTCGCAGCCAAAATAAAATACAAGATTAAGTGTTAGAACAGCTAACCCACCTCAAAATTCTAGAAATATTTAAGTGAGCTTAGGTGGCGAAAAATGTTTAAAATTTTTCTCAAAGATAGCTTGAAATGGTAAAAAAACAATGACTGACCAGATACTCTTCCAGACAATAGATGGGCAGTGATAAGCCCCCCAACTACCCGTATATTAGTTTCAAAAACAGAAACGTTGACATTGGAATCTACCTAAAAAGTGAATCAGCAGATCGGTTCCTCTTTGATTTGCCAACAACTATGTAAAAAAACCGGGCCTTCCAAAATATGTTAACTTCATTTATCAATGACAAAAAAGTCAGTCACTCATATCAGTTACAGGACTGATGAAACGTATTTTATGAAAAAGTAGTACAGCTATTCTGCCCTAATACCTTCCACATTTTTAGCTAGAGGCCAACCATTTATGACTGATAACTCGTAAAAGAAACCTTGATAGAGTCTAAAATCAACTTTGAAGCTCGAATAAACTCTGTCTCATTACCCATGATTAACAAAGTGTCCAAAGAATCGATCAATGTAAGGCTAAAGCTACCCCAAGTGTTCATACCTGAAAAAATGCATCTTAAAAACATGGAATTAAGTCTTCGCTATTCCTATCACTCGCAAAGTGAAAAAAAATACTCTCAGGTAATTCCAAAACTTTTATCAATATGTGACTTAGGAACTTCATGTAGTTTACCTGACCTGAACATGAAAGAGGCTTCAATTCATCTAAAGGATAAGCATATTTCAAATAACTGTTATAGGCGTGATAAAACATCGACTTCACTTTATTCCTTAAAAATAATAATATTTTGGGGCACCTTAAAGACCATTAAAAAGTCAAAAAATATCCTTATAATAAAATCTGTTAATATCAGAAATGCATAGAAAATAAAAAACAATGTTAATTTGTTTAGGCAGTTATAAAGCAATGTTTATAATTTCCAAGCCAATAAAGTCACATTCTTTACATGACGCTCTCAAATAAAAATAATAAAAGTAACAACTAACCTGTAAAACTCTTTCTGTTTTTCAGAAAACCGAAGCGATGAAACTAGTAGAATAAATGAAAGATATATAGCAATTGCGGAAAAGATCTTCATACCCATGGGAAAAATATTCACGGACCAATTGGCGATAAATGTTTCGAGAAAGCAGGAACATAAACAAGTTAAAAGCAAAGGCAACAAGTCAAAAACCCAGAAAGTTATTGCCCGTTTTTTAATATACACCTAATACGTTATTTCTGCAAACCCAGTAAAGATTCCACTGTCGGCCTTCTCCAACAATCCTTTCGATCCTCTTGCAAACGTTTCTTAATCAGTTCCAAACGTTTCAAATGATTTTCTTAAAATTGTAAAATAATTTAAAATATTTCATTGAAAGAAATAAATGCATCAGCAGTTCCATCGCCAAAGGTTATGTAGATTAAAAGAACTGAGAAAACTTAAACAAACGTCCTGAACAGAGCAGAACACTGAAAAAAATAAACTGTACAACAGTTCACTAATTACATACCCACTAACTTTTTTCTTGGCTATAGTTAATTATCAGCAACCGTTAGGGTGGCTTAGTACTGCCATTATGGATTACACAGCAGTTTCTTATTTGTTTTTTAAATAATACCTAATACGCTATTTCATCTTGCAGGTGAAAAAATATAAGTGAGCAAAGAGCTTTGAAAATTAGCAACAAATATTTCAAAACGACTGGAGATTTTTATCCCATTAAGAACACTTTCAACAGCCGCTTACTCGTTGAAAAAAAATTCTTGGAGAATTAAATAATTGTACAAATAACCCCAACGTAACAGAAAAACTCAAAAAATTTCAAAAGACAGTAGCCATTGATGTATAATACAGCAAGTTACTTAAAGGACAATAACAAACAAAAAACTACAGTATCAGGCATGAAAAACTTCTCGCTCAAAATATCAAAATTAAATTACCTTCTTCAAACTGCGCTTTAGCTGCAGCCAATTCCTGCTCCACCGCTGCCTCAAGAAAAACACGCTCTGTCAAATCTGAATATTCAAAATTATTATTATATAAAGAAAGTGTCACCAAAATATAGCTACATTAATCAGATTTAAAATTCAACTAAGGGAGAAGACTGTCTCAAATGTACAGGACATTAATTCAATTCTAAAGCCACTCTTTTTTAAGATTTATAAGTATTTCTTTTTTCCAGTTTTTTACCCCAATGTATCAAAGAAAGCAAACAACTTGACGATCTTAAGTTTTAAGTCATGAAGATAATATGGATGACCTCTCGGTGCCTTCCTCTGCTTGGGCGACTCTGCAACGAAGGATCGGGCGCTGTGAAAATCTGTCGACCGACCCGTCAAAAGGCTCATCAAAATTTCTGCTGTGGCCTAACTTTTCAATCCAAAAATAGAATTCTAAAATAAACTTTTCACCATAAACATTAATTAAGCGCTCAAAATGATTCAAAAACTTTCGTCTCTAAACCCAGTCTGATGAATGAATTACAGCAAAAAAAAGTAACAGATTCTTAAAGCTTACAAACGATGGATGCCTTTTAAATGATTAATTCTTAATCACCATTGTAACACCTAGCGCACGCATATATGTAAAACAATAAAACGATGTAGAATACTGTTCTAAAAATCTGTGAAAATAATCACATTAAAGTTACTTAGCTGAAAAGAATTTCAAGCCAAAGTTAGAACAACATTCTTTGGTAATCCTCTGCGTAACGTTTCTAAAATTCCATGTTTATTTTTTGCAGTAATGGGCACACTTAGCATAAAAATAACTTTGGAGAAAACAATTGCGAGAAAATACTGAAACACAGCTGTAGTGCTGAATCACAAAGCGCAAAACACTGCCAAAATTGTTGCATTACAAACATGTAAACATCAAAGGCTACGCCGTGTCGTAAAAATGAGGTTAAAACTAAGAATAAGCAAACGGCATAGTCTTCCCTCGTGAAAGAACCACACTTATCCTACACTAAATGAACAGTATAGCCTAAAGTAGGCTTTCGTAGTTAAAACCTAAGGGCCATCAGGCACATGGGTGTTATTAATAAGTCCTTTTCAAAACAAATATGGCAGAAAATCCGTCTAAAAGCTGCATAAGTCAGATTTTCCACATTGATCTCTTTGCTACTGCCAATAAGTACACAATCGCCCAAAATGCAAGCAACTGTTCGTCGCTCGGGCGAATACTCGGGAAGACAACATCGTTCATACCACTTCGTTGATAATCACTTTTTTGGCAAAACATAGTGCGACATCTACTTAGTCTTGGGAACTGTAGTACGCTTGAATGTTTAAAATAAAACAACAGACGTAATACATATATGGAGGGAATTTTCTTTTTAAAAAATCTCCTCCCCTTGACAGTAATTCCAAATAGTCATACTTTCAACACTGGATAAAGCATTTCTAAAAAGTTCTTTATATTGTTTTTGAAGAGAGAACTGGTTCAATTGAGCTTGTGTTCTGCGACTCCGTTCTTTTGTAGAAATTTACGCATAGTCCCCCTGCGTTGAAAATCCTACTGTATCTGAAATTCGATCCGGTCAATTATGCTGAAAATTCCCTAAACTCAGCTGCACTCTGTTAATATAGAATCTTTTTGCCAGCATTACACGCAGCTTCAAAAGCATGTATATATACATACTTCGACTGAAAACAAAAAATTTTCACTTGCACAGCTTCGAATTTTTTTAAATTTTGAGCACTTCCTGAAAATACACCTTGTATGCAAGACTACCAGTAGAGATTGAAAAGAAAATAAGCGAACCACGCAAAAAAAAACTTGTCTTTAATTTTCAGAAAAAGGAAAACTGAAGGCGAGATATGAAAAGATGGACAAAACAAAGAATCAGCTTTTCTAGGACGGTTAAATTTTAGCAAAAGCTGCAAGTAAACCTTCAATGTCAAACACTGCTAATAAGCAACGTGTGGAATACATTTTTTACTGTTACCCTCCGTGCCATCAGTTTTCAATTATGGGTCTGTTGCCACCAAGCACTTTCCCTTAAATCCAGCACATCTGTAGCAAATGCCACTGTGAAGGTCCTTAATGAGTGCCCGCCATGGTACAGGTATGTTACGGCATGTCTCGTATGTTTACACACGTTTTTGAATAGCGATTTGAGCAGTGGTAAGCCCAACACCATGTAGGGTACTTCTTTACACGAAAGACCGCCACTATTTAGAGTAGATATCTTCACAGAAAACGGATAAGGTCTTTAGCTTTCCGTTCAGTGCTGCTACAGATCTGCAAAAACCGTTTGACCTTAACCTAGCCTTGTCAAATGTGTGCTTCGATCCCGATCTACAAAACTCAGAAGAATTATCTGAAGCAGACATTCCAAGGATTTCGACCCGTAACTTCGGCCAGGTTCAACACTACTTTTACAAACAAGAACTTGGCACGTTTTCTAAAATTCCACGATCGCATCATACAAGTTCTCAGCAAACAACAGATGTATCACTTTATGGAAAAGTACAGGACTAATTGTTGCCATGGCTTCCTCTTGACTAACGAAGCATTTTTGAAAATGATATCTTCACAAAAATTTTAGTGCTATTATGAATCTTCATACGATGATTTCTCTATGAGAGTTACAATGCTAGCAATGTTACCGTTAGCTCAGGAGATATCCGATATTCCACGCTGGAAGAGTGTGAAAACTATGAAACCTGAAATTCCAGAGCAACACGGAACAGCAAATCGTATTCAGTTTTCTTACCGTCTTTACGGACCTTTCAAACACCTTCCATCCACACAAAAGTAGCTCCTTATTCAAATGTGTGTCTAAGATGGTAGCGGATAACAACACTACATGCAATCTGTCATATTTATTCTGCTGTCTGTTTCATTCCGTGCAAAGTAATCTATGCTTTGAGTTTTACACTTTTTTAAAGTGCCTTTCAAAATGGTATATGATGGAGAAAACGTTGGAAAAAGCGCGTTTTTGCTTCAAAAAACCTAAAACAACTTTATAAAGCTCTTCACAAAAAATTAAAGAACTATAATGGCTAGATTTTACTTCTGCCACTGGAGCAAACTGAGACGACAGCATACAGAACTATAGCCTAACCCCAACAGGTTTAAAAAGCCGAAGGTTGCTCTCTGGGCAGGAAATGTGTATTGCGTGAGAGTATATTATCTTAGCACGTTTTCACTTATATGATATCCTTAAAAATCCTCTTGAAGAACGGTACTGGAAAGGAAAAAAGATAGGATTTGTTTAGAAGAAACACCAAGAAAATGGTTCATAGAAAAATTTAGCATTCTTGCAGTCACAACGTCGCCTATTCTAAGCCACCCTCTGGAAAGGTTAGAACCAGTAATGTAATATACGAGTAACTGGGGAGAAACTGAGAAGTACTCCATGAAGAACTGTGCTGAAGTTTAAAGCCAGGTTCGGATGTGATTTAAGAAAGTCTGAGTAATGGTAAGAACTGACACTACCATGGCATTTTGCCAACTCGGAAATTTCTCGACTTGAGGACCGAATGGGAAAAGTGGGAATTGAAGCATAGTGAAATATTTAAATTTCAACAATTTTCTAAATTTTTTTTTTTTTATTTGATGGCTATTTGATGAACCTGAAGTTCTGTGGTAGTTCCGTTTCTGAAGGTTTTTGTGGTCGTTGGTACAATTATGGTTTTATCTTGAGTTCCTTCAGTTCTTTGCAACTTTCAGCTGAGTCAGTCATTTTGAGGCAGTTTTAACAACTGTGAAAAACTTTTTCAAACAGACTTCTGGATTTTAAGCGGCATCGCTGCTTGGGAACTGTGACAGTGGCTTAGAAAGTTCTATTTGTGACCAGTTTTTGCATTTGACGATATTTTTCTGGTATTTTTTTTTAGATCTGAAGGTTACTACTGTTTTTTGTTTCGTTACTGGCAGTAATACTTATGTTGTTCTACTCCTTAATTCTTGATGCGCTACTGCAGTTAAGCGTATCCGCCGCTAGAGTTGCTTTTTTCCGTTGGTAGCTCATCTTTGCTTGTTGTGAAAGAAGTTCCTGATCCCAAGCTATTCATCCGTAGCCATTCCCGACTTACCTTTTCATTTCATTTCAACTTTCTACGGACATAACGCTGAACCACGATCTTTCAATTTCTGCAGTTTCCCGTAACCACGCTTTGGATAACATATTTTTTAATGAATAGCAGTTACATTTTGTAACCGGAGATTTTGAAACTTGGGAAGTTTAGGTCTGCCCTCAAGCATACTTCTCAGACAAAGTTTCGCACTTTTTGACAGTTATTCAGGCAGTTGGAAAATACTTCAATGATCGCAAAATTTTGGCTGTTTTGATTCACTGTTTAAGGTGACCACGAAAATTTTTAGGGGAGGCTTTCTAGGACGCACCTGTGTATGCATCAGATTTTTCTTTCCCATACTTTCACCGAAGGTTTTCTGAAATCGGTTAAACTAAGCACTGCTACTACAGCCGTAACATGGACATTAGGGGAGAAAAGAAACTCTCGGTGGGGTCGAACGCAGCGGAGTATGTCTAAAAGGTGGACACACCAGCTGCTCTACTCCACCCTAATCTTGTGGAACTGTAATGGAGTCAAGTTCAGCTTAGCATTAAGTTTATAAAAACTTAGGAAGCTGACATTACTGCAAGTTAATTAGAGCGAGGTGAGGAACTTCTTGCGCAAAATAACGAAGATAGGTTCACGCAAAAATAAAACTGGTTTTGTTGGTGAAAACGTTTTGGGGTTCAGTTCTTATCAAGTGTTTTTCAGATATTTGATTGAGCAATGAGCACTGCAGTAAAAAAGAAACGTCGGAATCGCTCTATTTCTTCTGAAGATCGTGGAAAAAGAAAAAAGTCTCCAAGTCCCAAAGCTCAAAAAATTTCTAAGAAAGGTTTTCCTTAAATATTAGCAGTTTTTTGGCAGAAATTTTCTATCAGTGGTTATTTCGTTAACTTACAGACATTTCTGGTGATAAGTTGGAGAAGGACGAAATTACAGAGGATAATCACCAGATCGGGGAGGATGATGTTAAAAAAGAACCCACCCTCAGAGAACTGGAGATTGCAAGACTTATAAAAGAGGAAGAGCAAAAAGGAGGAGATGCTGATGTGGATGATGAACCTGTTTGGTCACTGAAAAGAGCACAAATTGAGAAGCCAAGTAGGCAGTGTCCTTACTTGGATACTATCGATAGGTTTTATTCCTATAATATTATATCATTTTTCGCCGAGCTTTGTTCCAATTTTTTGAGCTTTTGCTTTGTAGTAGGGTTTCAAAGGAGTGTCGACCGTGAAATTGTTTACGGGCTAAATTTTTAAAAGATGTTATTTTTAATATTTTAGGGGCGCATTGGACTTCGACTTTGAAAAACTCTGCTCTGTATCCCTGTCGCATGTTAACGTCTACGCTTGCATGATTTGCGGGAAGTATTTTCAGGTTTCTTTTCCTTTACTTACTCAAAATACAATACCCAAAATATTGATGGTTGTTATGATTTTCCATAGATTTGTAAAAATTTATTAATAGTTCTGGGCCTTTGCAAAAGGTTTAGCTAACGTTTCTTCTGTTATCACAGTTGCTGGTTGTTCATTTCCATTTATTTCTTATCTCTGATTTTACGGGTTTAATAACTTGTAAGGTTTCCTTCTTTTGTACCGTCTTTCACATTGCAGGGTAGAGGGACAAATACTCATGCTTATACGCATTCGCTTGATACAGATCATCGTGTGTTCCTGAATTTGAGCACGCTAAAGTTTTATTGCTTGCCTGATAACTACGAGATTATTGATCCTTCATTAGATGATATCAAGGTCGGTTTTTTTTTATAGTTTTGATATCTCTGTCTTATGAATAGCGCGAAGTTGAGAGAATCTCGCATTTTAGATATGCGTATATAATTTTGTTATTCTCTGTATTTTAGTATGTTTTGAAACCAACCTACACGAAAAACTATATTAATAGCCTTGATCAGATCACCAAGATGTCTCGTGCTTTTGATGGAACTCCGTATTATCCGGGAGTTGTGGGGCTAAATAATATCAAGGCAAATGATTACGAAAATGTCGTTCTTCATGTAATCACTCAACTTCTAGTCCTTACATATAATGCTAATGAGGCCTTCACTTTTTTTGAGAAGTTTTGTTGTCCAGAAATGTAGTGGCATAACCCTCTGAAACTAACAGTTTAAGGGAAATAGTAATACGAAGAAACTTATAAGCTTAAAAATAGTTTTACTCACCTACGTTGTCATTTGATCTCACACACAGGCACTTTCGCACGTTCCGCCATTAAGAAACTATTTCTTGCAAGAAGAAAATTACGCCATGATAAAGCGCCCACCAGGTGATAAATTGGCACTTTTGCCCATGCGGTTTGGAGAACTAATACGTAAGCTGTGGAATCCTAAAGCGTTCAAAGCCCACGTGTCACCTCATGAAATGCTACAAGCCACTGTAATATGCAGCAATAAAAAATTTCAAATTACTAAGCAAGGTTAGAGCAAATAATTACTTGCTCATTTTGCTGCTCGTATTTTCAAAAAATTTGGAATTTAATATTTGTCGCCTCTGGCAGTTTCGACAGTTTCTTCACTATTTTCCCCTTTTTTTTTTTTCAAGTTTGCAAAATGGTTTTTCACGTCACTATATTTTAAAGCATTACTAACAGTTAGACGTTCAGGAAATGCGGCGGAATTCCTCAATTTTTTATTGAACACTTTGCATATCGCCCTAAATGGTACTGGCAAAACATCCTCTTCCATTGTATATAAGATTTTTCGGGGACGGATGAGAGAATACACCAGAAAGGTGATACCTGTTGAAACTACCGAAGAAGCTCGAAAAACCCTACTTGAGTCGGAAGAATTCAAAGGTCTGCCTTAATTTGGATTAGTAAATTTATATGCTGAATTTATTTCGCTACTTGTTTCAGAAAAGATGAAAGAAATTCCGTTCTTGTATTTGACGTTAAATCTTCCTGCAGCGCCGCTGTATAGAGATGAACTAATGCAAAATATAATACCTCAAGTGCCATTAAATGTGTTACTTACAAAATTCAATGGAGTAACTGAAAAGGTTCTTTTTTGATAATTTTTACATTTTCGAGGCTGCACTAAACTTGCTAGTGGTTTCCTTTATCACTCTCGGCTCATTAGTACTACATTTTTAGGAGTACAAGACATACAATGAAAATTTTATGAAGCGGTTTGAACTTATACGACTACCTCAGTACCTTATTATAACATATGAAAGGTTTCACAAGAATCAGTGGTTTATTGAGAAGAACCCGACTATAGTGAACTTTCCTATAAGGTACAGCGAGAATTCGAATAGCTTCTCTTCATTTAAAGATCAGTTGCTTTGGTCGTGTCTGCATCTGTTATCTAGGCGTCTTTAAATCCAGTGAGACTTCAGAATCTCAACTAAATGGTTTTCAGCAATGTTGACCTATACGAATGCTTGGCTCCTGAGTTTCGCGCTGCGCATAAATACACGACCTATGACCTTGTGTCAAACATTGTTCATGACGGCAAACCGGAATCAGGCTCGTACAGAGTCCAACTTATACATAATGTTAGTTGCAAGTGGAACTTTAAGTGTTCCTCATTTCAACAGCTTGTCACGAATGGATATCATGTTATGAAACAAGGATACTCCATGTAACAGATTTCCTTTGTTAACAGGGGACACAAAAGTGGTATGAGCTAGAAGACTTACACGTGAAAGAAATTTTGCCTCAGATGATAACATTAGCAGAGTCCTACATTCAGGTTCAGTTCTTGACTTGCATTACTTTCTGGTAATGTTCCGTTAAAATCTCAGATAAGAATTTTTAGATTTGGCGGCTAAACATAACCAAGACGAGGGAGCAGAGAACTGGGGAAACGGAAGGTGATGAGGACACCCGAACAACTACTGAGATGCACGAGTAGCTGCTTTTCAGGCCATAC